AGAAAAAAATAAAATAAATTTCTAGAGAAGAAATAAATAATCTGAATATAAACATTTGTAAACATTTAAATGACGAGCACATGCGAGTTTGTCTCAGCGGGATTGGTCTTGCAACGTAGTGAATTTGAGTAAAAATATTAATTCCTCAATGTTCAAAAAATAACTTAACTTGCAAAGAATTCAAAGTATTTAACAAACAAACATTGAAATTGTAAACTACAGGAGAACCCTGGAATACCAAAGTAATTAGGGGCGTGGCCTGTTAGGATTTTCCCAAAAATGTACCATACATACCCAAATACATCACTAGGGTTACCAGACACAATGAAACCCACCTTGCGATGTGAGTAACTGACAACGTAGCGATCGCATAATCAAGCAGACCACAGTTCTTTGCGGCAAAAAAACAGGGCCTATTTTGCACGTTCTTCTAAATGAAAATTACTGCAACATAAACATGTAATATACACCATAAGTATCAGTGCAATAAACGTTTTATTTCGACAACTTGTTTCAGAAATTAGTTGTTCAGTTCTACAGCAATTACAAAATCCTTTCTTTACACTACAAATAAACGTTTTATTTATGTTTATTTTTCCTCCGTCCCGAATTTTGTTCGGATTATCCGAAATTTCGGATTAGCGAGGTTCGGATTAGCGGAGATGTACTGTAGTTTAACAAAAAAAATATTTCAAAAATTGTCTTCAATTGTTAACTACCAGTAATTATGAAATTCAGAGTCATGTCAGATTACATTTTTAGTTCTGTACGTCGCGTCGGTCAGTATCCAATATGCAGTTAGTAGGCATTAAAAGTACTTTCTGGCCTCTACTAACCAGACACTTATTTTTCTTTGACGAATCGTGCGAGGAAATAACATTCATTGATCGAAATCTTTTTTCCTTAAGGATTTTTTTTTGTCGAACACAAAAGGAAAAATGGTCTTTTGTATGAAATGAAGTGTCTGAATGAGAGAAGACGAAAGAATTGTCTCATCAATGAAAGAAAGAACACTGTAAAGACGTCTTGCCGCGAATCATTGTCTTTCCTTTGTCGATGTCTTTTCCTCGACAGCAATTGATGTTAAGAACGTGTTTTACTTGTGGGTCGTCGTATCAATTGAATACGTCTTTTCTTAATTACCTCTACTGTTAATTTCCATGATTGAATTGGAATTTAAGGCAAAACAATTTCAAGTTGTCAACTATTCGCAACGCTCCTCGAAAACACCCAAGAAAGAAAACATGGCTGTTTGCATTCACATTAATTTCAGAGAATTGTCCTTGCGATATTATCACGCCTAATTTGTTTTCACATTATATAATGTTTTGCAATAAAAATGGTTGCGAAGAATATATGCCAACTTTCTAGTGGAGCTGTCAAGTACTTTCTGGGAATAGGAGTTTTTCGTACTATTTGTAATGGTTCCGTAAATTTATAATTATTACGAAAAATATTTAATAAAGATTAATAAACATTTTAATAAAAAAACAGATTTATCATACTGTTAAACACACTTTCCTTTATGAGCAAACACAATTTGGGCACTTTTAAAGAAAAGTTTGGAAAAGTTCCGTGGTCGTCTTACGGGACTAAATACACACCCAAATATTATACCATCCGTTTGGAATTCACCCATAAATGTAGATCACAATATCCATTGGAGTATATCCATTTTGTGGAAATTCCGGGGAAAATGAAACTCTAACCCTCCATGTGGCACGCAAAGACATGATTTCTGGCATCTTCTATGAACCCATTAGCATATGTTTTTCCCTCTTTACAAGATTTGCACTAGTGTTTACGCCGGTAAACAGTTCATTTCCACCTTAAACGCGGTAAAATCAACAGCAAGAAATCGGGTTGCTGCCAATCGATATTACTCTTAGTGCAAATTTCTTAATTATTGAAGACATGATATGAACCTGGCAAAAATACTTGTGATAGTAATATTCTAAAATATGTTTCTCATGAAATTGAATTATAGTTTGCCAACAACAAGTTACACGTTTAACTTCATGTTAAATAGTTTAATTTATTACACTTTCAAACTTACCATGTTGTGTAAAATGTACGTAAAAGTTGGCAACCACTGAAAAACTTTAATACAATTCTCACTTAAAATCCACTGACATATTTTCAATGTTTCTTAACTTCAAAAAGTACATTTTGTATTCTTATGTGCAATTGTCATTACTTAAAGTACATCTGAAATTTCAATAGTATGAATTTTTCGTTTATATTTTATTTTATTATTATGATTTTTAAAGTATAGGGGAAACTGTCGTACCAAGGGGCAAAGCATATTTTAGATACGTTTTTGAGAGCAATTTCTGAAAGTTATTTTCCCTGCATTGCCCTTTCCATTTGTGATTATTCAAGTGAACGACTTTGTAGTGTAAGCTGTTTTCGTGATTTTATGAGAGTTTAAATATTTGACGAGTGAAAAGTATAAATAACTGTATTCTCCTTGCGTCGGCTTTGTAATAACTACTATATCTATACGCAAATTGAAGTACACCTACACTTACTACCATAGAATGTAGTTAATCCAAGGTGTATACTTATTTCCTACAGTTAACTACAATTCATAGTAGCCATGTTCATTCGTGATTGCCGATTGTTGTAGGGACAGTTACTGTTGATGTACCTAGGGACCTCCATAGGTACATAAATGTAGTATTAAATTGACTTCGATTAGTTTCAGGATGTAATGTGGCCATGCCATGATGTAAAGGAAACAATAAAAGGTCTTAACATTAGCAGAAACAATTAACAGTGCAGTTTTAAAGATAGTAAACTCAATTCGTTGTTCGTCAATAGTTAAGTTATAGAAAAAGACAAGTTTGAAAACTTTATAGTGCAATAATTTTAAAAATATCTCATATAATGTTTCATTCATTCAAAGTTGATGAAGGTTCTGCTACATATGAAGTTGACATGGAGAACATAAAAGTTAAGCTCCCTTACCCATCTATGTCCTGTTGTTCTTAAAGGCAGCAAAAATTTGTTTTCCATATCTTTTATAAATTATAATAAGGGTTGAAGTACTTTCAGTTTAAAAAAATGATGTTATATACTATGAAGTTGATATAGAGGGCAGAACAAAGCTCCAAAACTAACCTGTGTTTGGTTGTAATTAAGGGTAGTAAAAATCTTGGTAATTTATTATCTTTTCTCAAAAACGAAAATAAAATTTGATATCCTGTATAAGTAATACCCCGAGTATAGATGACGATTTTTAAAAATTATAGAACCATCAACACAAAAACTCGTAAGTATGCCACTGCTGAATGTAAGTATGCCACTGTTTAAGGCTTAAATCCCGCATTCAAGAGATTTAAGACAATTCCACTTATGAGTTCTTTGTTTCAATCCGCTCAATAGCGTTTTATCAGAAGATGGCCACGGGCAACTACAATCAAAAAGGTTTCATATGTACTTTTTGCTATCGTCTTACAGCATACGACGTTCAACTGTTTTAGAAAATAATTATTATTTCCATTACGGAAATTGTAGTAATCAATTTAGTCTGAATCAACTCCCCCGGAAATATTTTCCGCTATTTTTAAAATTATGTTCATATTTTCAATCGATTTACGACTTTTATTCATGAAATAGTCTAACCGAATTTCACTAGCTTGAATCTTATGCGATATGCGTAGCAACAAGTTTCCTGATTATAACATGCAAAACAGATTACTGCAACACTCACAACACACGTTACAACTATGCGCCAAACGACTTTACAATCATGTTTTCGTGACCCTGAGATGACCGAGTTTTCTGAACAGGTGAGTTTTGGGGGGACCCAAGTTGTAGGGAGCATTTGGGGAGGGTAAAGGCCGAAATTATGTTTTAACCCTTAGACTTTGTTTGTGGTCTTTTCTGATCCTACTCACAAATACGTTTTTGCAACATTCTGAAAATTATTCACGTGAAAGTATTCTTTTATAAATGCTATTTATGTGCAGTTTATCGTATGCTGTAAACTTGCCAGTTTTTTAAGTTTTCTTGATTTGAAGTAATTTGAATTTTTTTATGCCAGGAATCAGAAATGCTCCCAAATAGATTCAAGTTAGTAGCCTTGTATGAAACATTTTCATGCAGGTATAGTGGACACGTATGTACAGTTATTAGGATATGCTAGAATGTTGTTTCCGGAAATATTATTATTTGTTTTCTTAGTACGATATAGTAATTAAAGCAAATAAATAGCATCATGTTCTTAATTGATAATTCCAAATAGCATTCGTGCATGAAATATAGGTAAACTATTGGGTATAGTGAGTGGGGTCGAATCCGACCCCACACGGAGTCCGTGTAAGTAATGAAGAAACAAAGTCGAATGGTTAAATAGAATTACGCAAAAGAATATCTCTGCGAACTTCCGTACATATTTTTAGAGATTTTGTTCTGCTGGGTGCTCCCACTCCGTAGCATGGGTGATCAGAAAAAGTAACCTAACAGTAACCTGAAACCTATTCGAAATGAAATTGAAAGAAAAGGACGAATGATCTTCACTGATAAATGAAAAGGACTATTTTCTTTAGTGTGCATTTTCACCTCAACGCTTGGCAAATCTGAGTTACTCTCGCACAGTACTGGCCTCTGTTGCTTCAACTGGCCGCTCACATTGGTCAACGGCATCACTGGTGATGCGGCAATTCGTTCTTTTGAAACCCACATAATTTACAAAGTGCAGACTTTTAGCGCGGGTCCGGCTAGCGTATCAACGATGCTTAGCCTGCGAGGCCAGAAAAGCCTCGAGTTGCGGCGGTGACGCGAGGCGGTGCCTCGGCTGTTGCACTGCCACCTAACATCCCGTAGAAAAAAGAGGGGGGAGTGATAGGGAAAGAGAGAAAGGGCGGAATTAAATAACTCTTAAATAAGAAAATGAACAAGATAACTTTCAAATTTGAAACGATATTTCCAGCATTATCTCCTGTGTGGCAGCTAGATGCTGCTGTATTGCGTTGTGTGAAACGACTGTGTTGCAGTGCCGCCGGACATCCTGGACTACCCCACGAGCACGGACATGGTGGTGCGCGAGGGCTCCAATGTGACGCTGCGCTGCGCCGCGACGGGCTCCCCGCAGCCCAACATCACGTGGCGGCGCGAGGCCGGCGAGAGCATCCCCATGCCCAGCGGCCAGGAAGGTGAGCGCGCCGCGCTTTGCCACTCAGAGGGCTCGATTTGATGATAGTACGCTTGCTCGTGCTTGTACGAAGCAAATGAAATCAGGTGGAAATATATCAAAAGAAGGAACCCACTACGTAAGAGTATCAGGGGTTTATTTTCAGCTTGGTTACAATGTTTGCAAATCACCACTCGTACCAAAATTATGTCAATAGTACTCGAAATGCTGGGAGAAGAAAACCAAGTTTCTAAACGTTGCATCGTCACCAGAATCCAGACAGTCCGCGAAACGTGGGCGTAACACACTCTGCATATTAGTACTGATTCACCAAGCACACTACAACTCACAATTAACTCCCAGATTAGTGTGTCTGCTGAGTGGGAGTGGGCTAGCCCGTCATACAGCACGCTAGGAGTCTCTCTACGCAGGGGCACCTTGGTGCTTGCAACAAAAATCATGCAGGTAGCAGCGTGTCTCAGCAGAAAACGCACTCGCAACAATCTTAGCAGGCGATATAAGTGTTGTCCCATTTCCTTGTTTCCCAGCGATCTGTTTGCCATAAACATAAATGCGATTTTTAATAAGACGCCCTGGCGTGGCTCAGTGCGGAGACACTTTGATGGCGCACTGTATAGTCGACACCGCTGTCCGTCGAGACTCGCTTCGACGGCTGGGACCGTGAAAGATGGCTCAGGACATCAACTGTCACTGGAGTCGCTCTGACGGGAATGTCAGATCAACACAATGCGAATGCCGGAGAAGTACCCTAGCAACCGGCCACGGACCGTGCATGATTTTTCTTACCATTTTCTTGTCCTGTATTCGCCACACACACACACACACACACACACACACACACACACACACACACACACTAATATGCACTATACAAGCACACATACCAGGAGACCTATCTTGTCCCAGCTGGGGCAGTTGGAAATAGTCGTTGGGGAAACCCCGGTAGTGGACGGTAGGTCGGCGCTGAATATCGCCATACAACGGTGAAGACAGCCACCAGAGACAAGACATGCACTACACTTACGGGAATAATGGCCGTAGTAGGTGACGCGCCCGAAATTACTCACAATTAATCAATCGACGGCTTGGCACTGCTGGAGCGTGAACTTCATTTTCAACTCTGCAGAGAGTGAGCGCCGCCTCTTAAATGCATGATCAGTGGTGACTCGTGAGGAGACGTGTTTCTTTCCCTATACGAATCAGCTCCACTATAACAAAGAACTGCACCAAACTGATGCTTTTAAAATTTCTGTGTCTGTTATCCTTGTTTTTGACGGTTCACATACGTCAGCGTCCAGGTAGCCCGGTCGCATATTCTATACTACTGTATATCCTTTTTCCATCTCGCATCGCGAAGCTTTTCGAGGTATTTCGCGAATGTTGTGACGCCGTCGTGATAGACTCAGACGACGCAGTAACTGTGCAGCATTTATAAGTTTTAAGACCGCTTTCTCCGCTACACTCTCCCCCCGAGGCAAGCCGCCCCAGTGGCCCTCCAGAGCATCCCAGCCCGCGAAGCCACACCTCGCATTAGTTCCTCACAACCTCGAATGCCCATATCACGTGCTCATAGTGCCTCCCACTCCCCCGACTGCCTCCTCTCGTTACGGAGTTTTGGGCCGGGCGCAAAACAGGGCCCGCCCGGCCAGCTGCCAATCCGACGAGGCCTGGCGCTCTGCTTGCCACCGGCCTTGCGCGTGGCCCACGGACCAAAGCGCTATGGCGTTACATTACCTTCGCTTGTCGCTTGCAATGACAACTGTGACCCATTTTGTTGGAAAGAGACGACGACGTGCCGAACCATCCCCTCCACAAGTGTTAGTGGCCAAGAATGTATCTGCTCAGAGCTGTTCATAAATAGATCATAGTTTGTACTGCAACCCATAGCGCTAATATTCACGTTGCAAATGTCTTTAATAACTTTTTGTGATTTTCAAGAAGTTCAATATCCCAAATTTATTATCTGAATATGTTTCATGTATTTAATAACCCTGTATTAGCATAATTTTGCTTCCTGTTAGTTTGAACTAGTTTATATTCTGTAGCTAATTATCACGTTCAATGTATTTTATAGGAATTCATAGTAAGAAATTTTTACGTTAACGTTAATAAATCTTAGATGATACTTGCCACAATTTTAGCTCAAAGGCTGCTATTGAACCTATTCCTAGAATATATTGACGTAGCTTTCTTCGGGCAATCGGCGCTTCAAACTAGACTTTCTGTTTGGTCGCTATGAAGCGCAAGACCTTATTTCTGTGTTGTTAGTTTAATATCCAAATCGAACTCAGCGCTGATTCTTTCGACTAAACGGAATATTAAATTCATCTTCGTGGTGTTTCAAGTTTCTTTTTTACATGCTCTATAATCATCGCCATCAACGTCGTCAATGTTTTGCACCGTAAAAATCCAAAGGTTCTAGTCGGGTTTCCAACTGAATTTAAAAATCAGACTTGAAAACTACTCCCTTAGAGTCTCTAAAAACGTATTATGTAATTCGTGTTATGTTTTAGAGTACGCTAAATATGTAGTCATATTTCTGTTTAATGATTTAGTTCACAAATAAAGATTAGTAATGAAACTAAAAATACGTTTAAATTATAAATATGTAAACATTAAAACCCTCTCCACTGCAATGCTTTTAGTTATTATACTGCACGAGAAGTATCTATGAGAAAAAGCAATTTGTTTCGTTACAATTTTTAAGTTTAATTATTGAGTTTATTTATACATTTTTAAATGACATTTTGTTCAAATGTTTCAGTTGTGTATTTTGTATGTGATGGACAGATTAAGTATATTTGGATTTTTTTATTTGAAAAATCTCACAATGTGCAACCTTTAAATTGTTTGTGTTGTGTGATAACAAGCGCATGGAAGTTTGGCAAACTGCCGTTTTGTTATTGTTACTATTTCATGACTTTGACAATATGAATCATTTAATTGTGCTTCTGGCGTTTATTTAGTAGATTTTTATTATGCCTTGTTTGCCTATTTTAGCTTATGATGCCTGTACTTGTCATTTTATCTTATTTTTCCCTTATTATGCCTTTTACGTCATTATTTTCCTCTTTTCTTCTGATAGATTTTGATCAAACTGGATATATACCTGTGATCCTAGACAACACCGTCACCTTTTGCCTTTCTGTAGTGCAGAGGTTGTTTTAAACAATATTTTTGATTTTTTCTTTGATGTCGAAGGGCTGCAATCGCTCCCAAATAATTCCATCCTGCTTTTGAGTAAGGCCTCGAATCCCTTCTGGGGAAAGTTCTTAGTGCCCTTCTCTGTGCTGGCGATTTTTCAAGTGCAAAGAACAAAACCGTTTTCTCTTATGCCATTTCAAGATCCAAACGGGAATCGACAATATCATTTTCAAGAGACAGAGTTGCGAATAAAAAATTCGTATCTATCATACCGGATGATCATGTGGAATCAAGAATTCAAAAAAATATCATTTTCTTACCCGTAAAGTTCTAATGTAAATTTTGAGTTAGAATAAAAATGTAAATCATATTAATATGTTTTATATGTATAATATAAAACATATAGCTTAGCCTGAGAACATTCTTTATTAGCATACATAATAATACAGATCATAAATACGCTGTTTAAATGCACCTTTAGAGCATCACTCACAGAAATCGGATGAGATGTGATCGATTTTCTTAAACGTCGCGCATGAAGAGCCTGCAAGGGACAGTTACTGCTTCTGAAAAGCCTCAAATATCCCGCCTTAGTAAACCAACAGTCAGCAGCTGCACTCCTCGCGGGGAGGGGTCGCGGGCCCAGCGGCCTCATGGATCCGCGGCGCGAGGACGACCGTCGCTTGTTACCCGACGCCCTTCTCGTGGGCCTCGAGGTCGCGAAGTGTGAGAGCGGAATTGAAAGAAGGGTATACGCCCCTAGCGGCCGGTTTCACCAACAGGAATCAACTTCAGTTTGATCCCGTTTTACGTTTCTCCACGCACTTGACACGAATCAACGTGTCTGACTCGGATCAAATTTGACTCGCAATTGATCCGTCGCCGAGCGGTGGATCACGGCCAGATCAGGAGTTATTTCTCGGCTTGGTCGTCTAGCTATTCCAGGTTTCCGTTTTTTTTAATAAATACCTGTAGTTGGACTTAGATTCAGTATGGAAGTATTCGCTAAGAAGTAGGATAACGAGTAATATTTGTTGAGCAAATGTGTTTTTTTAAGATAGTATTGTAAATAAAAGTAGGGTTAACACAATTGTAGGTTAGAATTCTCGGTATTTGGAAGTGAAATTTAAATATATTTTGGCTTCAAATTAGTGTAATATTAAGTATCATTAGTAAAAAAGTATTTTGTGATATCTGTATTGCAATTGGCGTGGGACAGTTTTATTGAATACTTTTTTTAGTGTAGTATTACTTTCAATTTTTGTTCATGTTAGGTTAATTTCTGTCGTAAAAATGGAGTATGTTTTCGAATGTGATTCAATAAAAATTATTAATGAGGTGTTTGAAGATTTATTGTGGGGAGAGACACCACGAGTAATTCCCAAAAGAAGCGATTATTTTGAAATGTCAGAACGAGCATTAAAACTTTCTTTGTACTTGCTCATTAAGCTTTCGAGTAATTCTCTTTCAACTGGAGAGAAATTGGGCGTAGTCTATGCATTCTTTCCAACGTCAGGTGAATCCATCACCGAACAAGAGCACTACCACACGCAACAGATCACCACGCAGACGGAACGAAATGAAATCAAAACAACTCGTTTCCTACAGCTGACCGCGAGAATACCCACAATGCATTGCAAAAGTGTTGCCAATCGCGCATTCTCACGACTGCTCGTGAATCATGAGATCCGGATTAACTTCGAAGTCTCAAAACGTTGGTGAAACGCACAGGGATCAAGTCGGCCTTGACTCCGCGGATCAGGATCACGAAACTCGGTTCAACTACGAATTTGATCCTGGCTGGTGAAACCGGGCCTAGGTGCGAGTTGTAAATTTTAAAAAATCAAATTATGACAC